AATTCTGAGTATCGACACATTTCATCCAAAAATATAAAAGTTATGGCTATATCAAGTATATTGTTTATTTAAGCATTGCATGCGCACGCACGTGCATGCATGTGCATGTTGACCAAACTATCTTGTCTACATCATTAATATCTCTCCATATTATAAGTATTGAAGCATTTCGTCAAAAAGTATAAAAGTTACAGCTATGTCAGTTTTATAGGTCATTTTAGCATTGCACTCGCGCGCACGTGAATGCATGTGCATGTTGACATATCATCTTTTCTACACTCTTAGTATCTCTCTATATTATAAGAATCAAAGCATTTCATCAAACAGTATAGAAGTAACGGCTATATCAAGTATATTGGTCATTTTTCGCATTGCACGTGCGCGCACGCGCATGCATGGTCTTGCATTCAATTTTGATAGTAACATAATGTTGGAATCCATTATACCTATTTATATTCTAAATTTCATCCTGTTTTGTTGAGAACCAAGAAAGTTATAGTCATTTAAAGTTTAAGCCAATCAGATTGCAGCACACGTGCATGCGCATGTTTTCATGATAATTCTTATATATTATATTGTACAACCTCCTAATGTATGACTATGTTCTAAATTTCAAAGTATTTTGTCAAAAAACAAAAAAGATACTGAGACTTTTGTTTCAGCCAATCAGAGCGAAGCGCACGTGCATGCGCGTGAGTTCATGCTGATTTGACCATGTCATCTTGTCTACTCTACTAATATATCCTTAAGTTATAAGTTTCAAAGCATTTCATCGAAAAATGTAAAAGTTACGGCTATATGAAGTATGTCAGTAATTTCACTCATTGCACGCGCCCGCACGTGCATGCATGTGCGCGCAAAATGACCTTCGACGAGCACATCTACACAACATGCCTATTAACCCTAAAAAGGTTTTAGCTCAATTGGATGAGCAGTTTCCGAGAACACTCGCGGAACAAAAAGTACCGGAGAAGAAATAAGAATAAAAAAGAATAATAATAATAACTAGAAACTCATTACTAGTAATGAGAAGGTCTTCCGTTATACTACTTCCTGTTTGCATAAACATGTCTTTTCCAACGTCGGTATAAGCCTAAAACTGATGTAGAAACAAAATAACTTAAAAAAATACTTTTTTCTTCATTACCTGTCACGACCGGAAGTAATGACGACAGACGATTTTTACACGATGCAAATGAACTGATGACTAACTATAAGTCCTGAAAGTTTTAGACTTCAGTCTTTTACTCTTACCGAGCAATTCTAATTTTGGGACAGGAAAACACACGACCGGAAGTGAATTGAATAAAAATCTCTGAATTTTCTCAAGACATTTGTAGTATCTACAGCATATGTATAGAAAAAACATTTCAAATACTTATCTGTAAGTGATATTTATGAGAAAGATAAACATCGAAATAACGTAGTTTATCTCTTTAAACCGGAAGTTTACAGTTTTTGTTTCCGGTGGAATCTAACATATTTCAAAACACGAAAGAGATGCAACAAAGTGATGCAAGTTTTAATTTTATAAAGAAAAGTTGAAATTTTCGATTTTTTGAACACTTCCTGTGACGACCGGAAGTGACGGCTGACGCGTCTAACCCTATGTGTTTTGCTTACTCCTCAAGGTCTATTACTCATTTAAGTTTGGTGTCTTAATCTCATGCCGTTTCCGAGATCTCGCTGAGATAACTTTTCATTTTGAGGACAGGAAAAACACGCGACCGGAAGTGAATTTAACTAAGATTTTTGACGTTACTCTAGACATTTGCAGTCTGAATAACATATCTAAAAATCTTTTCAAATACTTTATCTATTAAAGATATTTAAGGGAAAGTAAATTTCTGAAATTATGTAGTTTTCCTCTTCTAACCGGAAGTTGTCGTTTTTGTTTCCGGTGGGACTGACATATTTCGAAACTACACATGAGATGCAATAAAGTGATGCAAAAAAAAATTCAAAAAAGAAAAGTTGAAATTTTTGATTTCTTTGATCACTTCCTGTGACGACCAGAAGTGACGGCTGACACGCTTAACCCAAATGGGCTCGCCTACTCCTCATGATCTATTACTCATATAAGTTTGGTGTCTTAATCTCTTACCGTTTCTGAGATCTCACTCGGAAAAAATATTTTTGAAAAAAACGGAAATCGGACATATCTGACGACCGGAAGTGAATTTTGAAAAAATGAAAAAAACGCCTCGGGGTATTTTCATTCTCTATCAACCCTGAAAATTTCAGGAAAATCCATCCAGTCATCTCTGAGAAATCCTGCCGACAAAAAAAGGGAAATAATAATAACTAGAGCAAAGCTCGTTGCAAAGCAACGAGTGGGTCTTCCTTCTTAGCGATTAGCTTGTAAGTTGACGTCGTAATAAAAGGATAAATATTTGTTTAATTTCCACCTAAAGGTTACATGTTTCTGTTTAGATTGTCAACTTTGCTAGCATTCTCTTTCTTCTTTGACCCAAATATCAGGAGACCTCATCTCCGGAACTCTGAATCTGGAGTGAGCATGAGGATATATAATTCTGAATAACTGTGCTCTCTCCAACAGTACTCTTGAAATTGTATCCAAAACACTAATACTCCCAGACCCTCATTTCTTGAATTTTGACTTTTGATTTTTAATTTCTAGACTTTTTCTATTCATCTAACATCTTTGATGCAATCATGTTAGTAACACGTGTCATACTACAGAATCATCAGTGTTTCGCTACATCACTGTCATAATAATTGCTTGACAAAACATTTACTCAGCATAGCTACATAGTAAGTAATCCATATGTGTTACTGATTGAGGATATCCATTCTTTGACAATCAGTAAGTAGAAAAATACTCTTACAAGAAATGCACAGGGATGATTTCAGTAAGACACGGTGTCACTTGTGGAAAATTTTAACATAACCTCTCTTTTAGCCTTTAACTTAAAAGTTAAACTTCATTATCTCAAAAACCGATATCTAAATACATGTACCATTTATATGGCGAAGTGAGCTGGTACTCCCAACCCCTTATTCTTTAAGTCTTTTACCCTGCATGGTTATCTGGAGTCATTGGATATCTTGATGTTTAATCTTGGTCCAGTTGAAATTGAGAAAAAAATGGTTTTACTGTACTTCTTGCGTTCATTTATTTAAGTGTTTTACAAGGGGGGAAAAAGACACATATATTTAAATTTTTGTAACATGTTAAAATAATCTTTTACATGCACAAGTATATTACACATATATTCAAGTAAATTTTTTTAATAATAATTCATTAAAAATATTTGAATCCATTGAAGTTGATTGCAGTAGATATAATGTGAATTATGAGCCTAAGACACAACAAGCAAATTTATGGAACAGTGGTCTCATTCTGTCATTTGTCAACTGAAAAAGTTTGATGATAATAGGCTTGAAACTGTTCAAAATATGCCTCTAAATCATTTTGAAAAAGAATGGCTGCAAATTTAAAAAGTAGGTAACCATGAACTACTTTAGAGTCAACATGATATGACGTCCTTAGATGCATCAACTGACAAGATTTGATGATCGTAGTCCTTATAGTAAGCAAAATATCAATATTTTAATAAATGTAATTTTTGGTCAACTTTGAAGTGACCTTGAGACCAAGCCCTTTGTCCCAGGGCGATTCCCCATGCAAATTTAAATCTACAATATATCCTCATCCTTTTGTGAAAGTTTGGTGATAATCTGCCCAGTGGTTCTTGAGAGGACGATTTTTTAGCAACCAGTTCTTTTGGTTTTATTTACCTAATTATCTCCCCTTGTTTACGGGTCACAACCCTAAGTTTACTAAAAACGGGAGCCCTTGGGCCATGGATACACTATGACAAATTTGACAATAATTGGCCAAGGGGTTCTTGAGTTATGGCCCATATTCTAACAGAGGCCCATGGGTCACAACGCTCACCTGAGTTTCTTTGGCCCTGCTGTTCTTCACCAGACCCTCCCTCCCTTGTAATACTTATTGAGGCCCCACCCTACCCCCAGGGGCCATGATTTAAAAAATTAGAATCTACACTACCCCAGGATGCTTCCACATATGTTTCAGTTTTTCTGGCCCAGTGGTTCTTGAGAAGAAGATTTTTGAAGATTTTGCCTATATTTCAATGTAAAACTTTAATTCCCTATTGTGGCCCCGCCCTACCCCCGGGGGCCATGATTTGAAGAATTTAGATCCTACACTACTACAGGATGATTCCACATAAGTTCCAGTTTTTCTGGCCCAGTGGTTCTTGAGAAGAAGATTTTTGAAGATTTTGCCTATATATTTTAAACTTTGATTCCCTATTGTGGCCCCGCCCTACCCCCCGGGGGCCATGATTTGAAGAGAATCTACACTACCCCAGGATGCTTCCACATAAGTTTCAGCTTTTCTGGCCCACTGGTTCTTGAGAAGAAGATTTTTAAAGATTTTGCCTATATATTTCAATGTAAAACTTTGATTCCCTATTGTGGCCCCGCCCTACCCCCGGGGGCCATGATTTGAAGAATTTTGAATCTACACTACCCCAGGATGCTTCCATATAACTTTCAGCTTTTCTGGCCCTGTGGTTCTTGAGAAGATTTTTTTAATGACCCCACCCTATTTTTGTCTTCTCTTGATTATCTCCCCTTGTAAAGGGGGTTGGTCCTTCATTTTAACAATTTAAACTCCCCTTCACCCAAGGATGCTGTGTACCAACTTTGGTTAAATTTGGCTCAGTGGTTCTTGAGAAGAAGATGAAAATATGAAAAGTTTACAGACGGACGGACAGACAGACGGTCAGACGACGGACAACTGGATTGAGTTGCTCAAAACTCTGGTTAAGTTTAACCACTGGTTAAATCTCTTATCCAGCGGTTAATTTCTAACCATTGGTTAAATTCCATTGCTCAAAATTTGTCCACTGGTTAAAGTTACTTGTCCAAAGGTTAATTTCATCTAACCACTGGTTAACTTTAGCACACCTAAGGGAGCTGTGCTAACTGTTAACCAGTGGTTAGTTATGGCTGCAAGGTTAGTCTTCGATTCCAACTTTGGCAGACGACAAAGAAAAGAAAGGGTATATAGACATTTCCATCACAATTTTGAAGAGGGGGAATTTTCATCTAGGTACAGATTTTCTAGAGAAACAGTAGCAGAAATTACATATATGCTGGAGCCGTATCTGTGCCGCCCAACACTGCGTTCTTATGCAATGACTGCACATGAACAAGTTTTAATGGCACTGAGATATTATGCGACTGGGGACAAAATGACAACAATTGGGGATACCATGGGTTTCCATGTTTCTAGCGTGTCCAGGAGTGTTAGGGATGTGTCAGCCGCACTGTGTGACATTGCTCCACAATATATCAAATGGCCCACAGATCCAGCAGAGAAGATGACCATTAAGCAGGGATTTTACTCCATTGCCTCATTCCCTGGAGTTATCGGGGCTGTAGATGGGACTCATATTCGAATCCAGTCCCCGAGAGAATATGAACATACCTATGTTAATAGAAAGGGGTTTCACTCCATAAATGTCCAGGGAATATGTGACCATACAGGTAATCTTAGAGCTGTGATATTTTACCAACGATACATTTTCCTCATTAGAAAACCCCCTCTTCTTCAATTCAATAATGGCCAAATGCCTGGAAGTACATGTGTAGGGTGAAAGTTTGAAAATGGTAATATTTCCATACGAGTTAAATATTCAAAGGTAAAGTGATAGACTGCGAATCAATAAATCCTTTTACTACTACAAATATAATAAGTTACATGTAACATACATGTAGTTAATATATCTAACTAGTGGTACCGCGAGCAGTAAACTCACTGAATGATACCCCCCCCCCCCCCCTATAAATATATATGGCGAAAGTCCATGTTTTGCTCTTGGGGACCCCAAATAATTGTCAAATAAAAATGTACAATAAGCCTCTCAAATGCACTTTATAACAAAGACTCTGTGAAAGTTTCATTAGATTTCATTCAGTGGTAGAGGAGGACTTGCAGATATGAAATGGGAACCACAAAGCATAACGGAGGTACAGACAGACGGACGGATGTACAGGATATGGACGGAAGTGGACAGACAAACAGACATAAATCCCTATCACTATTTACCCTCCCACGTCTCATGCAAATATAATTATGATATTTCAAACACATTTTTGAAAGTCACATTGCTGGTTTATTATAGGGAAATTTTTGAATGTTTCTGCAAAGTGGCCAGGTTCGAACCACGACTCTTTTATTTTCCGGAGTTCGGACATCGGCATTCATTTAGAAGGAAACCATCGGGGTATTGATGTGGACGGGGTTCTTTTGGGAGATAGTGGGTATGCCTGCAGTAGGTACTTACTTACGCCATACCTGCGGCCTAGTACAAGGTATATGCATGTACCATTACTGATGTCAATGAAATAAAATTCATGAATAACTAAATTACTTTTCATTTAGAAAACTGTGAGCACTGGAAAAATTTAGAAAAACAGCGATATAATGGAACACTAAATTGGGCTATATTCTATTCATTTTTTAAGTTTCATGAATAATAGTAAGCAGACGAAGTTACTTTAATTCCAAGTTTAATGCATTATTTGTAATGCTGTGTATATTCTTTTAAAATTCTACACTTAGAGCACAAATAAAGTACAATGATGCTCATGCAAAAACTAGGGGTGTCGTGGAAAGGTGTTTTGGTTGGTGGAAGAGGCGTTTTATAGTGCTTCATGAAGAAAATAAAGTAAGCATCTTACAAATGAAACAAACAAACAAAAAAATCACTGATCTTGCTATGAACCTTTCCAATATAGTACATTTTACACATTCTCCTGACTAAAAAGATGATAATTATTTCAGGTATTGAGTTTTAATTTTAATGTTTTCACAATGCTACCTTACCTGAATAATAATAACTTACTCTATACATACCTTAAGATAACACATCTCCAAATAATTAGATAGTACAAAGTAATTTTAAGAAAATATTCTGTTTAATTTTTTAATAGTTTTTATTTTTGGGAGGGGGGGTGTTAAGACATAGGGGTATCCTACTCTCATGTTCTAAAAGTTTTGACTAGCTAGTTTAAGTGTAGTGGTACGGTATGGTACTAGTATCCCCTCCCCTGCCTCCTCATTCTAAGTGCCTGAAAGTACCGAGTACACTAATACATACTTCAGTATTTATAGGACCATTCTATTAAATTTTAATATTCATTGACATTTAGTTACAGTTTGCATTTACTTAAACATATTTTTACAAATATGTTTTTTTGTGTTAGTGTGAACCAGGGCGGGTTGCAAAGATAGCGGTGGCTTGTGCTGTACTGCACAATATAGCTCTTCAGAGACATGAGCCAATGGAAGATGATATTAATGGCCCAGGAGACAATGGGGGAAATGACGGAGCAGTGCAGGGTCCCATCAATGATAATGTCAGGAGATTTATCACAGAGCATTATTTCAACTGAGTGTTCTCAAAATTTGATGAAATTTTATTAATGCAGCTAAAAACTGAATATTTAGAAATGTCAACAGTTTTTCAAACTAAGAAATACAACACAGAGAAATTTCATTTTTAAAAATATAAATCAAGAACAAGATGCCTATGGACCACAAAGCTCACCAAAGACACTCTGACCTTATTCTTAGTTTATCAGCAGACCCCCCCCCCCCCCCCTATATACTTCTGTATTTAACACTGATCCCCTATTGTAGTCTCATCCTACCCCAGGAGAAAATGATTTAAACAAACTTGGAAAGAAAACTAAGTGGACCGACAGACCAACCGACAGACAGCAGAAAAACAATATACCCTCCCTTCTTCATAGGAGGGCTTACATAAAAATCATTAATGGTTCACTATTCGTATGAGAAGATTTTAAAAGCCCCCCTTTCTTATTCCTACATAAATATTTGATTCCCCACTGTGACCCCATCCAACCCAAGGGTCCTCATTTGTTTTTTATAATTCTAATAATTCTGAATTTTTTTTAATATAGGGTAAAAAATTGGAAAGTTTAGAATGACAACGATGACAACAACAAAGTATGATTAGAAAAAGCACTGACTTTGGCTCATGTGTGCTAAAAATTTAGGGTTCATTTATATTGCTAGGTTCATGATTAGCAATGTCCATTTTAAGCTTCTTGATTTCAAGATCCACTTTTGTCTTCTGGAGCTTAATCAATTCCCTCTGTTCCTTAATTCTCTCTAAATCCTCAAGCAGAACACGTCTTTGAAGATCTGACACCTTTAATTGTAATTCTGAACTGCCTGTTTCAATAGGTTTCCTCTTTCTTTTCTCTTCAGCTGAATTATTCAATGAAAATATGTCACTGTAAAGCATGCATAATTGAAATATAAATTTAATTTTCATAATTCATCCATATGATATGGTCAATTAAATGTGAATGATAACATTTATGAAAGTGTACCTGAACAATCAGACTTTCTAACAGTTGTCCCTGAATTGGATATTGTTACATTGAATGCAACAGGTGATCCTGTATAAATTAAACCACAAGATAATTTATATTGTTAATTGCTGACACCAATAATGTAAACATAAACATATAATAAATGTATATATTTTTTGTTTAAATTCAAACAATATAAATTCATTTCAAGCATATTCTGTTTTCATATTTATCAATGAGCAATAAAACTTTATTAATCAAATCCATACCTGAAGAATTTTCAGGAAGTTCAATGATTTGTTGGCTCTCACCTGTGTATAAGTAACAATCATTTTAATCTACATTGCAATAAAATTTCCCATATCTCCAGCAGATTTTAAATTTCTTTGATTTAAATTCCTTTGGATGTTTATATTCAATGTTTCTATAAAATCAGATATATATTTACAAAAGTGTCAATACCATTAGATGCTAAGGTCTCAAGCCCACATCCATTATAGGTGTTGCATGAACTTGTATTGCATGAGATCTGTGATTCTGAAATTAAAACAAATAAATATTAAATATTTATATGTACAATTATTGTAAAAAGTAGTTTACATACATTTGATAGAGTTATAACTGGAGATTGAAATTTTTCAGTTTGAGTTTCAGTCTCAAAGCTGGATTTTTTTTTACAGTTTTTTTTAAGTGAAAGAAAGTGATAAGTATAGTGTATTAATGTTTCTCAAAAGTCAAATTAAATTTATTCAATAAAATAATTTTTAAACTACCCAAAACTATTAATAATAGTTTTTAATTTATTTAACTGGTTGTGTATTACATTATTAGATATATGTTCAGAATATATATGATTTGCTTACCAAGACATTCATTAACACAGTCACTATCTTCAGGTTTAGGAACTGATTTCTCTGAAATTGTACATACATATAAATATTATAAAAAATGTCTACAATTTGTCTTCAAACAAACTGCCTACAGGGTAATTAAATTTTTTTTGTTGGATGTATATATTTTAAGTCTGTGAAAGATATAGTAAAAGCTTATAATTCAAATTAAATGAAATTTAATTTGACTTGTAGAAAACATTGTATGACAATAAAATTCTGACTAAAATTAAATAAAAGTGGTTCTAGTCTGTCCTTGATTTGTACTTTACTTTAATTTATTTGCCAGAAATAATTGTGCGTACATCGGCATGGAAAATCACCGACATTTGCACGGTGTAATGTCAAAGTGGTACGGACCGAATCATCATAGGAGCGAAATAGTTAATTTGACCATGACCTTTGTATTTGTTTTGGTGGATGCAGAAAGAATAAAAGCTTCTTATAGAATATGTTACAATGCATAGACAGTGTGCGGCGTTAGCAAAAAACGTAAAACTTGATCCCGTACGACTTTCAATGAATTCATCTAATATTTCTCACGGAAGTAAACGCCGTCGTTCCAGATTATAGTAAAATGCGAATTTCCTCGCCAGTTCATGCAGACGAAGGACCGAGTTGTGCCGAGATTTATGAAGACACAGAAAAATAATAAATAAAGGTTTGTCAAAATTACTTACCTGTTACATTAAATCCGCCAACCTCAATCCCACCTTGAAAGCCTGTGAAATTAGGGGAGTCCTCGTGAAGATCCAATATCTTTTGAGAAATGGCATCAAGAGGGGGATGAGGTGGCCCTCCACCAGTCTTTCTCCGATGAATCTTCTGGGTTACGTTATCCCCCTTTGCTTTTGAACAGGCCTTACGGTATTTCTCTTTGACCTGTTCAACGGTCCTATTTACACCACCCCGGGCATTAACAGCATCTGTGATGCTTTTCCACACACCTGCCTTCTTGGCATTTGTTATTTGATTAGTTTGTTTCGACTGAATAACATCTATATTCTCTTCAACCTTACTTATAATGAACAAAACATCATCAGTAGAGAAATTTTCACTTCTCTTTTTGGCAGCCATTGTTGACAGATGGACAAAGTATATTGCATTATGGGATACTATCCACTGGTTAAGTCATGCTAACCAATGGATAGTTAGCCTATGAACTAATTGCCCTTTGAGCAACAGAAATTTGACCAGTGGTTAAGTAGCCAATGGAAAATAAATTTGACCAATGGTTAGCTTAACCAGTGGTTAAATTTAACCAGAGTTTTGAGCAACCCAATCCAGAAAAACTCACTTAAGCTTTCAGCTCAGGTGAGCTAAAAAGTTTACATACATCAAACAAATGGCCATAGCATTAGCTCTTTGAGCCTTTGGCTCACAAGAGCTAACAAGAGGCCCATGGGCCACATTGCTCACCTGAGCACATTGGTTAGGCAAAAGCACAAATCAGTTCAGATTGGGGGAGGGGGGGGGGGGCTTGAATTTTAAACTACCTTCAATGCCAATTTAACAAATGGCTTTGTTGTACTTGAAAAGCTTTAAAAAAAATTTCCCATATATTCCTTTGTAAAAATTTGATCCCCCATTGTGGCTCCTCCCTATCCCATGGGTCATCATTTGAACAAACTTGAATCTACACTATCTGAGGATGCTTCCATATCAATACGACTAAACATAGTTTTCTGTTCTTGAGAATATTTTTTTCTATATGTTCTTATGTAAAACTTTGGGTCCCACCCTACCCCTGCAAAGACAGATCCAGGGCCAGCGCACTGGGCATGCTCCCCCCGTTTGAATTTTTTTTATGTAGAACTTATATGTCCATTATCCTAAAATCAAGGAAAAACATCTTTTCTTTGTCAGCTTCCCAGACCCCCACCAAGGCCTTGCTCTAGACCCACTGGGGGCTTCAATGGAGCCCCCAGACCCACTGCCTCTAACCCCCCCCCCCCCCCCCGTTACGAAATTCCTGGATCCGCCACTGCCCCGGGGGTCATCATTTGAACAAAATTGAATTTACACTACCTGAGGATGCTTCTATATCAATATGACTAAACATGATTTTCAGTTCTTGAGAAGAAGATATTTTCCTATATGTTCCTATGTAATTTTCAATCCCCCATTGGGCCCCACCCTACCCCTGGGGGTCATCATTTGAACAAAATTGAATTTACACTACCTGAGGATGCTTCCATATCAAAATGACTTATCATGGCTTTGCACTTCTTCAGAAGAAGAAATTTTCCTATATATTTCTATTTAAGACTTTGATCCTCCATTGTGGCCCAACCCTACCCCCCCCCCCCCCCCCCGGGGGTCATGATTTGAACAAAATAGAATCTACACTACCTGAGGATGCTTCCACATAAATATGACCAATCAGGGCTTTGCCGTTCCTGAGAAGAAGATTTTTTTAAGATATTTCCTTTATATTTCAATGTAAAACTTTGATCCTCCATTGTGGCCCCGCCCTACCGCCGGGGGGTCATGATTTGAACAAACTTGAATCTACACTACCTGAGGATGCTTCCATATAAATATGACTCATCATGGCTTTGCTGTTCTTGAGAAGAAGATTTTCAAAGATTTTTCCTTTATATTTCAATGTAAAACTTTGATCCTCCATTGTGGCCCCGCCCTACCCGGGGGTCATGATTTGAACAAACTTGAATCTACACTACCTGACAATGCTTCCACATAAATATGACTCATCTTGGCTTTGCTGTTCTTGAGAAGAAGATTTTTAAAGATACTTCCTATATATTGCTATGAAAAACTTTGATGCTCCATTGTGGCCCCGCCCTACCCCCCAGGGGTCATGATTTGAACAAACTTGAATCTACACTACCTGAGGATGCTTCCATATAAATATGATCATGGCTTTGCTGCTCTTGAGAAGAAGATTTTTAAAGCTTTTTCCTATATATTTCTATGTAAAACTTTGATCCTCCATTGTGGCCCCGCCCTACCCCCGGGGGTCATGATTTGAACAAACTTGAATCTACACTACCTGAGGATGCTTCCATATAAATATGACTCATCATGGCTTTGCTGCTCTTGAGAAGAAGACTTTTAAATGTTTTTCCTATATATTTCTATGTAAAACTTTGATCCTCCATTGTGGCCCCGCCCTACCCCCGGGGGTCATGGTTTGAACAAATTTGAATCTACACTACCTGAGGATGCTTCCACATGAGTTTCATCTTTCCTGGCCCTGTGGTTCTTGAGAAGAAGATGTTTAAAAGATGCTATTTATTTTTCACCAATTCTCTATTATCTCCCCTTGAAAGAGGGCGTGGCCCTTCATTTGAACAAACTTGAATCCCCTTCACCCACGAATGCTTTGTGGCAAGTTTGGTTGAAATTGGCCCAGTGGTTCTGGAGAAGAAGATGAAATTGTGAAAAGTTTACAACGCCGATGACAACGCCAACGACAGACAACGGACAAATTTCGATTAGAAAAGCTCACCTGAGCCGAAGGCTCAGGTGAGCTAAAAAGATAAAAAGAATTATGTATCTTAGAGTTGTCTATTTGTAATCAAAGTTATATTGAAATCAGACCAATTTCTTGAAATAAAAAATTGCACTGTTGTAGTGCAAAAAAATTAATGATATTTTACATGTTGCTACAATATTCAAGAGAGGGCATGTTGCAAAATTTTGAATTAAATTAGAGGGGTTATGACTGTTTCATCACTAATTATAGATGATCAATGCGAAAACACAAAGTTGAGAATTGCAATGTCATTGAAAGTCTTGGAGAGCACCGAGCTATTAAAAAATTATTTCTTCAGACAGGAAAATACCCAAAAGAGACTAAAATGTTTTAAGATGCTTCAGGGATTGCCTATACATATCTATGACAAAAGTGTTCAAATAGTAGTAGCTTTGTTAATGGAAGGATTAACATTTTTGATGACCCAATCCATGCGATATCCCAGTACACCGCTTATCGCATGGATGTTGCGCCTATGGATTTTGCATTGTTTCCATACCTATTGCTTTACTGTGTAGACATAGATTTTAAGAGCTCACTAATATTTGATATGCAACAATAGAAAAAAGTAACATGACTTGCTAGAGTTATTCAATTTTAAAGTAGAGAAAAGACATGTAAATGCTAGAAATGAAAGGTATTTATAGCTGTGAAAAGCTCAGCAGGTTTGGAATCAGGTTGTCACATCACCTAACATCAAAAAACATCAAATATTGCTTGCTCCGTGAATTCTTTGACTGCACAGTAAAAAATCGCATATTTTCAAAATTTTAGTAAATGGACTTGATTTTTTACATACTAATAAACAGATAAACAAAATATAAGAATTTAATCAGATAAATGTCATTTTTCAAAGTGCACAGTAAATTTTTCTTAAATCAATGTGTCCGCAAACTTTTCTAACAATCCTCATTCATGTACATGCCCTTAGCACTGAAGTCATTTGAAATATGCACATATGTTAACATTTGTTGTTGTATATGCCAAAATAGCAGTTCTCTCTAAATTATTTTGTAAAAATACATATATTACAAGTTCTTAATGTATTAAAGCCTGATGTGTCCATAATCCTAGATGGAAGGACTTTTATCCTTGTGTGACTGTTTAAATTTCACTATGCTGCTTATTCTTCGTCATCTCCAAACAGATGCTCTTCTGGCAAATATGGTCATGCTTGGTATCAAATTTCAGTTATCAGATGGCAGTCACACCTATCCAAAAGAAATTGAAATTTCTCATTTAAAATAAAAAAAAAACTGTACAACTTATAAATGATAAAAAATTAACGATGTTAATTTTACTCGGACAGCTAAGTCGAACAGTCAGATGCTTTAGTCAAATGAAAGTCGAGTACTCATTGAAATTGAAATTAATTTTTCATGTCATTTTCCTTTTTGTCTTTCAGAGACCGCTAGCCTGTACAATATTTAAACTACATTATAACCATTATATAACAAATTATTGAATCATTAACATTTACGTAGTAATAAATATATGTATCAAATGTATTTGATTTCAAATATAATATTTACTGCCAGTGTTTTTTTTTCAGTACTTTGGGACTGGGGGCTGGGGCCCTCAGAATTGGGAATTTCAGCATCAATTAGGCTAAATTGGGAATCTCCCAGAAAGCCCAATCACTTAAAAAGCATTGTCAAAAAGCTTTGTTTTTGTCTTTGTATTACTTTAACAAACAATTGTTATAACTAATCAAGACTATTCTTGGTATGGATTATCTAATTACTTGCATCAAGAACAATAGTGGTATGAATTATCTAATTATGAAGAAATCCAACTTGGCTGAGGTGGCAGAGGATAGTTTTTTTAATGCCAAACATGTGCCGAGGGGGTACACATATACATGCGATCCATAAAAACATGTACATGGGGACAGTTTTTCAGGGGCTAATTAATTACTCTTCATATGCCCATGGCTCACAAATTATGTCAACAAATTACATGTAATTTGCCTAGTAGAGTGCACATGTACCAAAAATGCACCTGGGGTCTCCCCAAATTTTGGCTTGTTTTTCCAAGATTTGGGCCTCAGTCGCACCCATCCAACCCACTCCCAGGCCCAAGCGAGCAGGATAAAACACCCAGTAGTCTGTAAATCAATGCATGCCCTAATGAAAATTCACCAATTGATATGGGGCCATTCACCTTCCCTCTGAGATACACACCTTCTTCTAAGGCCTACTGCTTTTCAGCTGAATTTCCTCTGCAACTGACCACGTGTCTTAGGTTCGCATTTACAACTCTGTATATGATAAGCATCATAGTGACACCTACATGTTGCACATTAATTTTTTCAGCAAGCACTCTGCTACACTGCAAATGTGTCCCATAATTATTCGAATCATTTTTCTACATAAAATATCACATCAAACAGGGGATATCTCAAATTTTTAAGAAATTTGACTGGGTCTTTAGTACAAAACTATCCACTGCCACCTTTAACTTTCAAAGTTTGCTTTTTAATTAAAATAACTTTCCATATTTAGAAAGTGCAATCAATTCTGAGTAAAAATATACTAAATATGTCTTATTTCAATGAAAAATAAAAAAGTTAGAGGCA